GCTGAGAGGACTGAATGAAATAACGCATGTCAGTGGCTTAGCAGTGTCCCCACGCGTAAGCTGAACAGCAAGGAACTGGTAGTTATTTGCTACCCTATTTCCTTGATTCTGAGACCAGCTTTGATTTTCCTTTTCTACTTTTCACAGTTCTGAAGTTAGAACAGGCGTGATTGTGATTTCCTCTAGCGATTTGCGTTTGCTCTCGGGTCGCACTGTTGAGAGTGCAGGGACAGCACTGCACAGATGAGAGAGTGGAGTCAGCGTGCTTTACCGACGGTCATCCGGGACTGGTCTTTATTGCTAGTCGTAAAGGAAGAAGGAAGGAGGGAAAACCATCTTGGGATGAGACCATAGGGGTGCTTTTAATGCCACAGGATGCTGCAGGCCGTAGAGGAAGGTCAAGGGTGTAAATGGTGATGGAAGGAGTCTTGACTTGGGTGGTGAACACACAGTACAGTGTACGGATGATGTCTTATAGAATTGTACACCTGAAGCCTTATACAACTTTATTAACCCACGTCACCCCAGTAAACCCAACAAGAAAAAAAAGATGCTGTAGGCATCTTCACTGTGTAAAGAAATAACTTCCAGCAAGGAGAAGTTGAGGGTCATCGTGTCTTCGAACAGCACATGACACCCACCATGTAGGGTGTGGCAAAGAGTATGGTAGGTCCTGGAAACATTTAGTTTCTGCTCCTGGCTCTGCCACTTGCTAGCTGTGCAGGCTTGTGCAAGTGGCACCCTCTCTGAGCCTCTGCTTCCTCTGTGAGTGGGGCTCATCCTAACTGCCCCCATTGATGTGTTCTGAGAGTCCTGTGACCTGAGCAGACTTCCCACTGGGTAAGCACCCAGTGGGCGGAAGCTGTTCATGTTGCTCCCTAGAGGCGCACCTCTCCCCTGCATCTCTCCCCTGCATCCCTCCCCTGCATCCCTCCCCTGCATCCCTCCCCTGCAACCCTCCCCTGCACCTCTCCCCTGCACCCCTCCCCTGCACCTCTCCTCTCGCACCTCCTTGCTGCAGGATTACTTTCTGATTCTTGCCGTCAGCTCTGGACATACTGCCCACTCTTCAGTCTCTCTCTAATGTTATCTCCTTGCTCAGACCTTTTCCACCATCCCTCCTCCCCCTCCCCACTCTGTGTGAGTGTTGCCTCCTCCTAGAGGGTTTTTAAAATTCCGCCTTATAGCCTGGCCGGGCGTGGCTCGGCAGTTGAGCGTTGACCTAGGATCCAGGCGATCGGGGTTCGATTCCCGGTCAGGGCACATGCCCGGGTTGTGGGCTTGATCAATGACTCTCTCATCATTGATGTTTCTATCTCTCTCTCTCTCTCTCCCTCCCTCTCTCTGAAATCAATAAAGATATAT